TATATATATATATATATGAGAACTATATTAAGATGAAGTCATGATAAATATAATTTGAGAAAGTACTGTTGAAGTTCAAACAAAACAGGGACAACATGGAGTATAATTGACTAATGACTTTTTCTTTTTAAATAATTAACTAAGTACTTAAATGAGATTTTCGAGATGCAACCAACATGTAGCAATAACAGTTAGCACATGCATAAGAATGACAGTGACAACTGACATGCATATTTTTGGAGTCGAGAACCCATTATTGGTTCTTTTGGACAAGTGTGAAAATATGTGTTTAAAAGAGCGCTATACTTTAAACGAAGTTTTGGCTGTTAAAGTATAGCGCTCTTTAAAAGAACATTATATATATATATAACGCCACTATAAACCGCGTTATATACATAGGGCGGTATATAACCACGCTATACTTGTTTTGTGGGCCCACCAATAAGTCTCATGTGTTTAACTGACATAACAATAATTCAAATGGGTATAGCGCTCTTTAAAAGAGCGCTATACCTAAAAAATTCAGCCCACCGAGCTAGGCATTGCCTTATTTAAAGGCGTTAGGATTTTACAAAAATCCATTCAAAAATATTCCTAACTCTCGTTCAAATTTTTCTTCTTGTAAAATTCTCAAGCATTTTTTCATAATGTCTGAAGAGCGAAAAATAAGGGTTTCATTATATTGGAGGGGAGGGGGGGTGAGGTTATGGTGGCGAATAACTCTGTTAGCTATAGTTTATCTCCACAGTGTCATGTTAAGTTGCCACTTACAATGGAGTACGATAGATTTGTATCGTTGTTATGTAATAAAACGAGTGTGAGGAAACGTTCGGTGAACCTTAAAGTAACCGGAAGATATCTGTATTCCGTCACTCCGCAAGGGGTTGCTTGTTACGCTGAATTTAACATCGACGATGATGAAACTTTGAGGGATTTTTTTAGGACTCCGGATGAATACCGAAAATTTCTTGTGATAAAAATGTTGGAAATGTACGTCAAGGTCGAAGACGTTCGCAAAAATGAGGTTGCGCATAGTAGGGATAACCCTCAGTCATCGGGGGGTTATTCTGGAGCAGTTTTTGCCGGACAGGTTCCGGATGAAAGAGTTTGCCCTGATTTAAACTTATCACCACGGGCGAATGAGGAGCGAGAAAATAATTTCTCTCCTGCTTTACATAATCTACAAGACGAGTAGTAAACTTCAATTTTCCTTAGTGTTACGATGTATATTTTTGTTGTATTGAATTTGTATTAACACTCATATATCCCACAGGGGGTACCAGCCAGATATGACTTTTACAAGTTATGAACCCACGCCCAGTTGGAATATGCGTAGTTCTGATGTGTTGGATCATGGTGGTCCATCTGGGAGTCATCACCAACAGGATAATGTCCATCAAGGAATGTCAACACGTTACGACTTGTAAGTGAAATGATACAGCTATATGGACAATATTTATTAATTTCAGTAGCTTATTATTTTATTATTTGTGTAGTGAAAACGAGCAAGTTGAACCACATGTCCTCACTTAATTGCCCAAAGATGACATATTAAATCGGGATCTAGCAGATGCACAGAGTGAGGAAGAGAACAGTGATTATGACAACAATGCCGATGATTCTAGAGACGACACACCCTTCCCTCGTGAGGATGGTGACGGGGATGAAGAGAATGAAGGACCTGATTTGACAAGGGAGTATGCTCCACCCCCCGTTAGACCAAGAGTGTACGAGTCACAAGTGTCGTTTCATTCAAGGAAGATTCCCTACCTTGATAACTTGCCAAGTATGCCAGATGTGGATGCTCTCACAAGGCATTTTGATGAAATTCGGACAATAATATGGGATGATTCTAGACCAACGGTGCTGGCAAAGGGCATGCTTTTTCCTGATAAGGTGCGCCTAAGCAGGGCAGCAAAAATGTACAGCGTAAAAGAGTGTCGTGAGATGACGGTATGGGAGTCAAGTCCGGATGTATACAAGGTTGTTTGTCGCAGATGGTTTACGGGTTGTCATTGGATGTTGCGTGCGAGCAAGAAGAATACAGGTCTGTGAAAAGTGGGTAAATATATTCCCACCCACAGATGTGAAATGGACACATTCAATGGGAATCACTACAACTTAGATATTGACTTGATTTCTCTTGTCCTTATTCCACACCTTGAAGCGTCTATAAGGTACAAAATCAAAGAGTGCATTACATCAGTCCACCAGGAATATGGCCATACCATTACCAAAAGAAAGGCATTCTCGGGCGCAAACATGCGTTTGAAATTATTTATGGTAACTTGAATAAGTAATTTGCAGCTCTACCCAAGTACATGGCCGCACTACAACACTTTAACCCCGGGACGGTTGTTGAATGGAAGCTTGAGCGGAGTCCTGGAAAACCAGAATATATATTCAATTACGTGTTCTAGCCATTTAAACCAGCAATTGATGGTTTTCTGCATTATCGGCCGGTAATATCCATAGACGACACTCATGTCTATGGAAAGTAGATTTGAGAAATGCAGGCGGCGAGCACATTGGCATTCATTTTTGCAGTATGATCACGACAGAAATGTTTTTGAAGTTCGCACCGCAATCCACCAAAACCAGGGGAATAATGTACATACCATAAATGAATCTAGAAGTTATGCTCTTGTGGAAAATGATCCATCTACCACATGGCGTGCTCACATGCCATCAGGTGCTTTCAACATATAGGTTTAGGGCCAACCAACTACGTTGATAAACAATATAGTATTGTTTCTTACTTAAACACCTATAGTGGGCAGTTGCAGCCAGTGGGTGTTGAGTATTATTAGTCGCTGGAACCATTTAAAATAGTGTGTAACAAGAACTATTTGCATCGAATACAGGTGCAGAAGAGAATGCGTATACAGAACCAAATGGATGTTAGCGATACCGTTTATACGCAAATGTGGTATATGCTCGCAAACAGGACACGACCGTCGAAAATGTCCTTCGGTTGATTTGGGTGGCGGTGGTAATCAAGCTCGTGGTGGGTGTTCTTCTAATGTGCCCAACTATCAATGAGTTTATGTTGTAATAAGTAGCTGTTTTATTTATGTTGCAAGATGTATCAAATAAAATTATATTTTCATTGTTGTTAAATCTTATTGATATTTAACATTTTCCAGTTGAGTAAATTAATGCATTTCTCCCTCCCGTTCATGTAATAAAAAATAGTATTGGATTAAAAAATGGAAAAATATGTGAATATATTTGATAAATATAGTTGATAAATATAATTGATAAATATAGTTCAAAAATAGTTGAGTTAAAGGTAGATTTCTGATAAATATGTGAATACACATAGCGCGATTAAATACTATGTTATGTCAATATATATATATCGCGGTTAAATAATACGTTATGTGTATTGTCTTGTCGAACTGAAAAGCTGCCCGTCTGAGAAAAAGTTTTTTTGTATCCGTAATCATCTTTAACACGCAAAGCATATCGCTGTTAAATATNNTTTGATGAATGACTGTTGGGATGATGGTGAAGTTGGACGCCGCTACTGGATGTGTGTGAACAAGTTTTATAGGGTTCCTGGCGAACCTTTTTGCAATTTTAAGATATGGATTGATGAACCCTGTAAGAAGGAATGCTACAAATGATCTTTGCAGTATCTTCATGATTTGACCTTAAAACAGTATGAATATGAAAAAGAATATAAACGAGAAATTGCGGAGTTGAAGGAGAAACTGAAAGAGGCAGAATTAGAAAAAAATAAGATGGAAGAGAAATTTAAGTGGTTGGAGCAGAGAATAATGGGCGGCAGTGACTAAACAATGACATGTATGTGTTGAGTGTACTATTTATCTTTATGTTTCCTGTGTCATGTATTTTCATTAGTTGTACTGAATTTAAATTATGTTAAGTTGTTATGTTTTGTGTTTGTGTTTTAGTATTAAAATAAAGAAGGAACGGGGAAATAAAAACATAATGCGCATATTATGTAAACATAAAAAATTGTTGTTATTATTTACATAAAATACAAAAAAATAAATAAATAATCAATGTGTCCCACAGCCTGTGTGCTTCATTGCAGCCGCTGGCCTGAGGCGCATCCCATCCCACCCGGCTACACTATCAGGATCATCCTCATCACGACGCCTCTTTATAACAGGATGCGCTGCAGCATAATCATCAGTGGTGCTGGCAAGATCGGTAGAAGGGGTCGTCGGTCCAGTAGAAACCTACAGAAGAATAAGTCAGCTCAGTATAGGAAAGTATATATTAAGTCACAACAATTTAAATAGTCTTACCATGGTCTCGTCGGGCTCCTGAATATAATCATCCGTCGCAACCGTGTCAACATCGCACAAATGGGCCTCCTTGACGGGCGGGGATGAAGCCTTAATAAGAAAATTAATAAAGTTATGGAAAATAAATGAGAAAAAAAAAATCAAATTTAAATTTAATACTAATAAAAACATACATGCGCATGTGATGATGAGCCATAACTCAGCCGGCGCCCACTATCCAAATCTCGGGTCGGCCGATCCTCAGCAGCGGTCGATGACCCTGGGAAGTATGCTTCC